GATTCTTTCTTATTACCATATATATATATATATATATATATATATATATATATATATAAATATATATATATATATATATATATATATATATATATATATATATATATATGTTTTAAATACGCATTGATATTCAATTTTGTGAAATTTCACTGATTGACTTTAAAATACTTTCTATTTATATTTCTTTTCACAAATCCTGTTGTTCGTGATATGTACTCTCCTATCGTCATGTCTTTCATTACTACTGAATTCTCTGAGCAAAACCTCTTCTTTCGAACTCAAAACCCTTTGGCGTTGAAAATTAAACAACTGTTAAACGTGTAGATGTTTCCGTAATCGTTATGCGCGAGACGAGAGCCTAAACAGCGTGTCTTGAAGAAAGTCGCTTCGGTGAACGTCTGCTTTAAGCGCGGTCGCAAAAACACCGAGCCGGTTGACTCTTTTTGGAAACCGCATTCGGTCTGGCGTACTCTAAGATCTCGTTATAGGATAACTGAGTAAGCTTTTCAGGTCAAAGGTTGTCCACGTTTATTTTTTTTTTCCTTACTTTTTGTGGTTCGCCATGTTTTCTTGTTAAAAATGTGAAGTGGCTTCCCGCTGTTTTTTTTTTTTCTTTTTTTTTTTTGCAGTTTGGAATCGAGGGGTTTCGTCAGACATGCTGCTAATGAAGCTAGCATGCCAAGTTGAAACTGCGATTCAACAGCTCAGAGCTAAAATATCTTCTTAGAACAGTGCTTGCCACTTTGCTTGATAGTTTGCACGATCGTTACGTCTTGTCAATATCTCTTGAATAATGGACTATTCAGTTTTGATTGCATGAAAAGAGGGGAAATCACACTACGTGGTTTCAGTGAGAAAATGAAAGAAACAGACAAAGAAATAAGGCAAGATAGAAGTGTTTAACATCTCCTGCTAATAGCACATAAGTAATGGACTTTTCCGCCTTCATCGCGTTGAAAGAGGGGGAGAGACATTACTTGGTTTTAGTGAGAAAATAGAAATAATTAAATAAATAAATAAAGAAAGAAAGAAAGACAGAAAGAAAAACAGAAAGAAGGGAACACAGAAATGTTTAAGATCTCCCGCCAATACTTTATAAATAACGGACTATTCCGTTTTGATCGCATGGAAAAACGGGAAAAACACTACTTGGCTTCAGTGAGAAAATGCAAGAAATAAATAAAGAAGGGAACACAAAAGTGTTTAAGATCTCCCGCCAATACTTCATAAATAATTGGAAAAAGAGGAAAAGATGGTACTTGAATATATTTTCTTTGTTTTACACATATTTTCATTTTTTTTTCTTTTTTTCCTTTCTTTCTCCCTAAGATCCATTACGCAAGGACCTTATATATATATATATATATATATATATATATATATATATATATATATATATATATATATTAAAAGATAAAAATATAGTTTTCTTCGCTATACAGGAAATTACCATGTTTCGAAAAGTGAAGCTAAAACCTTCAAAGTTAATTATATAATTAAATTAAATAATTATAATTGTAATTAAATAATTTAATTATATAATTAAATTTGAAGTTTTTAGCTTCGGTTTTTGAAACATGGTAATTCCCGTGTAGCGAAGAAACCATATTTTTAATCAGTTAATTCATAATATTTATGCTCTGTAAATTTACATTGAGCACTGTTTTGTAAAAATGAAAATACCAATAAGAACACAGGGTTATATATCTTACTGTTCTTTCTTTTTATTATAATATATATATATATATATATATATATATATATATATATATATATATATATATATATAAAATTTCGGCACACATTATTAAAAGACAAAAGTAAGAGAAATTTTCGATACTGCCACTATTGAATCTTATCAAAATATAAATCTGCGATTCGTTTTATTTTTTTTCAAATATTGCAATTCCTGAAAGAATGACTACTTTTCCAGGTCAACATACATGACAAGGAAAATGATCAAGAAAATTCAAATGAAATGGTTAAATTCATAACCTCGTATAATTTAAAATATATAACGCATATAATAATCCCAAATTAAAATGACTTAAATACTAATTTTCGCAAGAAAAACAATATTGATGTACATCATTTACTCACTTTCGTTTATTAGACATTGAATTGTGTCACTCCATGTCCTCCATAGTTCGCCTGACTTTTCAACTAATCAGATGAATATTTATGTGCATCGCTAAACTTTAAAAAAAACTTGTAAAACTAATAACAGGTTTATCTTGTATATAAATATAAATAAAATGCTTGCATTTGCTTCCATAAAATCACTAATTAGTGTCGGCTAATATATATATATATATATGTGTGTGTGTCTGTATCTGTGTCTCTGTGTTTATGTCTGTATTACCATACGTTTATATATATATATATATATATATATATATATATATATTGATTGTTTGTAAGATATGTAATATTATCCAAAAGAAAAGTGGCCCATTTCAACACTTACACACACATACACACACCCCCACACACACACTCA